ATAAACAAATAATAATAGGCCAGTGGATATAATGAGATGGATAATCTCGTTTTTGATCCAGGGCGACGTACACGTACACTCCAACCCATGATCGATGATCTGATCTGCCTGTCCTACTCCTACGCTACGACGGCGAGGCACCAAAACGGCCAAATTGTGGGTGGTGTGCCTTGGTACTCGAGCGAATAAACGTCAGCACTTCTTCCTGTTCGTTTTATCGTATCAATTATGCTTATCAACTATGATATAATATTTTTTTTCACAACAAAACAGTATCAGTCGGCTTATAAACCACAGAAACAATCAAGCCTCGACAAGCGTGCATAACTGCACACTGCATCTTGGCAAGTGCAGAGCTGGAATTGAGGGTCCTTGACGTGCTATCAGGACGACCACGTGTCCGTCCCTCCCCATTATAGCGGGTAAAGTCTTCCCATCCTTCAGCGTCGGATTAGTCCTAATAAACGTCTAGCCTATTCGTACGACGCAGTACGTGCTGACAAAAGAAACTTGTGAGTGATCTGGCCAAACTCGCAGAAAAACAATTGCGGCGTTGGCCAATTGGGCCGAAAACCACAAGTAATTGGGCAGGAACCAGCCAGATTAATCTTCTCCTGTGTAGTGTTCCGTGTTTGGCATACGACCTAACTATGTTTATCATATATCATGTTGCATTTTCAACGTCTGGGAGGATGCACTGTTACCGGCACGGCAGTGCTTGCTTTGCAATTCTATGGTCTTTGTTAAATTATTTTGAAAATGGAAAAACATCGGCTTGCATTTACGTGACGGTGTGGCCATGATGTGGTCGATGGAAATCTAAGGTAAGTCGCTTTCTTTTATTTAACTTTTAATAAAATAATTGACTTCTAAATCACGTTAAGCCTACGTACTTTAGGGTTTAGTCGTTTAGACAGACTCTCGGATCGGCCAATCAATTGACAATTTGACAGTAACAAGTCAACGATTGCTTTTGTTCTCTCTAAAGTTATTATTTGTTCTTCTCAGGGAAAAAATATATATTCATCAACTATAGATAACATGGTTATAAAGAGACTTGAATGAGTAAAATGCGTGTTGTTCTATGTAGTCCTAACGTAACTATCCCAACACCCTTTCTTTAGTTGTCTTTATGCTGAATTTCTTTGGCATCACATATTGCATTTGATATGTATCTCCTATTGAAGTACTAGGCAACTTCATGATTAATTCCAGAGTATAGATCATGCAGATACTAGCATGTATAAACGAAACATGAGACCCATCACATGCAAATCCTCATGTCTTATTTATTTGATAACACACTTAGCTTGCCAAATCATGCATTCTAATAAACGAACCTGGACTCAATTCTCATTTACATTAATAACATATAATATGAGTATATCATACAATAATCAACCCGGTCATGTTTGTAATGCGAGAACTTTTACATGCACCTACATTTTTCCTATAAAATGACCCCTACGTTCCAAACATGCCCTTAATCGTGTTGTCATTCAATCAACCAAAGCCCACTTAGGTTCTAAACACACTTCCAAGGACAACAATATTTTTTGATCTAGGAAAATAAAATTATATTCTAGAATATAATAGTTTATAACATGCGTCTCTATTATAGTATTAAAAAGAGAACATTTTGAAATATACCACCGAACATCACATGAAAAAACAAAAATAATAAAAAGTAGAACGAAACATAAGTGAAAACGAAAACAATAAAATGGAAAAAGCAACGTAATACGGGGAAGTAGGAAAAAATACATCACATGGATACTACTCAAACAACCTAAAATATACCACAAAATGTCTCACAGTACAATGTGAGTAATGAAAGATACACTCGAGAACATCCCTTCTATAATACGCAAGCATCTCAAAATATACCGAACATCTCACTATTATAGTGAATAGACAAAAATACACAATCGAATATCATGTATACCGCATGAACAATATATGTATCTCATAGAATATAAAAAATAAAAAACTACAACATGAAAATAAAAACAATAAGTTAAAGTAGATTTTAAAAGAGAAAAAATAAACAAAATAAAACAAGAAAATATACATACAAATATAAAGAAAAAATAAAATGGTAAAACATGAAAATAAAAATAAAATTACAACAACAACAATAACAACATAGCCTTTCAGTCCCAAACAAGTTGGGATAGGCTAGAGTTGAAACCCACCGAGAGCTCCAAGTCACGGTTCAAGCCCTTCAATAGCTGCTTTTTAAGCATTCCTATTCAAGCATAGATATCTAGGTATATCCCACGCTTTCAAATATCTTTTTATTGTCTTCCGCATGTCAATTTCGGTCTTTCTCTACATCTTCTCATATTATTAGCTTGGCTTAGGACTTCACAATGCACTGGTGTCTCTTGAGGTCTCCTTTGGACATGTCCAAACCACCTCAACCGATGTTGGACAAGCTTTTCTTCAATTGGTGCTACCTCTAGGCGATCACGTATATTATCGTTCAGAACTCGGTCCATTCTTGTGTGACCACAAATCCATCGCAACATACGCATTTCTGCAACACTCAGCTGTTGAACATGTCGAATCTTTGTGGGCCAACATTCTGCTCCATACAACATAGCCAGTGTAATCGTCGTTCTATAAAACTTGCCTTTTAGCTTTTGTGGTAGCTTCTTTGTCACAGAGAATACTAGAAGCTTGTCGCCACTTGATCCATCCTGCTTTGATTATACGACTAACGTCCGCATCAATATCTCCATCGTCCTGTAGCATCGATCCTAGATACCAAAACATATCATTCTTAGACACTACTTGACCTTCCAAACTCACATCTCCCTCCTCCTGTGCAGCTCCACCAAAGTCGTATCTCATGTATTCGGTTTTAGTTCTGTTCAATCTAAAATATTGAAACTCAAGGGTCTACCGCCATAACTCTAGTTTTCTATTTACTCCCGTCTGGCTTTCGTCCACTAACATTACATCATCAGCAAACAACATACACTAAAATAAAAAATAATCAATTACATTAAACAAACAGAAATAAAAGGAAAATAAAAAAATGAAAAGAAGTAAAAAGAAGCAAGGAAATAAAAAATAGAAAATAATAATAAAAGGAACAAAAAATAAAAATAATAAGAAAACATCCGTTTTTTTTAGAGAGACTAAGGGTTTGTTTGGATCCTTAACTAAATTTTAGCTGGCTAAATTTAGCTGCCACAAATCTAAATGGTCCAGCTAAAAGACCAACTAAAATTTAGTTGAGGGATTCAAGCATCTGGGACAACTTTTAGCTAGATATATAAACTTTAGATGGGTGGAACCATACAGGGCATAAGAAAAAGACCGTGCGGAGGAATCAACCGGTATTTTGGGCTGAGGACCAACTGGGCCGATGCGGAAAGAAACAGTCAACGAGGCCGATGAGGAAAGAAACAGTCAACTGGGCCGATGTGGAACGTGGACGCGGCTGGCGGCGCGGGCAATGATGAAGGAGAAGGCCCAACTACCATCAGCGGGTATATATAAAACCCTAACAGCCACCATCCTCCGCCTCTCATCCCAAGTGCCAGCCGCCACCAGACTCTTTCCCTCTCCTCCCGGCTCCGGCGAAGAGCGATCACCAGGTATCCCCACTTCTCTTCCGTGTCTGCTGTGCGAAACCGAGTTCCCAGAGTCTGTATATGCAGCGTGATACCCGGATTGGCGATTGTTGGGAAGAAATTCCGATCCAACAGCCTCTCCATCCGGAATTCTAAAATACCTAGCTGTGTATCCCGTGCTTCTAGGTCGCAATAGAAGGCGAGTCTACGCCGCTCGCTATCGATCGATTCCTGAGCTCCCCTCGGCGTTCCCGCGCGCGTGGACCAGTCCCGCCCTCCGCCCGCAGTTCCCGCGGCCGGGCGTTCTCCGGATCCAGCAACGGCCAGCTGCCGCTTTGATCAGCAAATTGCTGGCAACTTGGCCAGCGGCCGGCCGCATCTAGCCACCGTGCCCACCCTACGTAGATGGATTCTGACGAGCGTGCGATGGCCGATGGCTTTCTGACGGTGCGACCGAAGGCTGGCAGTGGACCGCGGGCAAATGCAGGGCCTAGCGATCGATCTGTTTTCGAGAAAATCAGAGAAAACTTGATGGTACGGTAGTTCCAGATATGAGAAGGGCAAATTTAGACAACCCGTTGCAGCACTCTGCTTCTTTGAGGGGTTTTCTATTTTAGATGAATCACTAAATTTAGATATTCCTTTTGGCTAATCTCTTGGAGATGTTCTAACTTTTTGCAAAAATTATCGGCTGTACATATGTACACCCATGTACCCATGTCCCGTTACAAGATCTGCTCCTGGATCACAGTGGTTCCAAGTGTTGAGATAACATCTAATCTGAATTCCATTAAGTGCTGAGAAACATTGAATTCCATTATTAGCTCTTATTAGTTTTCCGTTCTATTTTATAGCAATACCGATGTGGAGATTTAGTTCGTTAGTTTCTTATATTCTTGCTGTCGTACTTGTTAAAATCGCGATTATGTTGTGCAATTTTATGACTTTTACGATCTTAGAATTATGTCTTTGTCGGTTAGAACCGATTCTACGATTCTACAGTAATTAGTTATGAATTTCGATCCTACCAATTCCGATCCGACTCATAATCATGAACTGTTGCTGAAGATCTCGGTTTTCTTTCTGTTCGCCATGTGGTTCCCTGATATGTTTCGGTGTGCCCATAAGTTGTTACCTGAGCTCTGAATTAATCTATGCTCTGAATTAATCTATGACACTTAGCTTGTTTTGGATACTTCAGAAACATAGCTTTGGTTTGGATTTGTTATTAGATCTAATAGCTATGAGTTGTTTAAGGACTTGGATTGGATTCTTCTTTACTGTACTATAGTAGCATCATTGTTCTCTGTTCATTGAATGCCTGTTTAACTGTTGTCATGATTTGACATTTCAAGTTGTTCTAACACCGCCCTCATATGTGCCGTCAGATCACTTGTTAATCTTTCTTGTTGGGAGATGGCGGTTTCTTTCGCAAACGTCAACTCTGAGGCAGGGCTGAAAAAGCTTGATGAGTACCTTCTCACTCGCAGCTACATCACTGGGTATGTGATTCGAGCTGCTCTGTTTGCAGAATGGCTATAACCTTTCACCTTTGTACTGAACTTATGCTGCATTAATCTGTCTCTAGCTACCAAGCTTCCAAGGATGACCTGGCTGCCTACTCTTCATTTTCGGCTGCTCCCTCATCCAAGTATATCAACGTAGCAAGGTGGTTTAGTCACATTGATGCACTCCTGAGGCTGAGGTATGGCCTTCTTCTCGTCCTTATATTTCCTAATAGGTATCCTGTTAGCAGTGTGTGTGTGCTAATAATCCATACAATTTCAGTGGAGTTACTGCAGAGGGCCTAGGTGTCAAGGTTGAGTCATCAGCAGGTCCTTCAGCCTCAACTCCTGATGTTGCTGAGGTATAATTTCTTGACTCCTATTTTGGCTGAAAACTATATGTGAATTTAAGTGTTGTGCTAATTCTTTGTGATTTTTTGGCTGAAAATTGTTAGTAGTTTTATATGCTCACATAGTTTGTGCTGATCGCTGGTTTGAATTATTATTATTGTTGTTTTCTAAAGTTACCATCAACCATGCGGTTCAATATCAGAAATACTAACTTCTGAGTTACTCGTTTTAGTCACTGAAGTGCATTTTCTAATAACCGCAGGCCCCAGCTGCTGACGAGGACGATGATGATGATGTTGACCTTTTTGGTGAGGAGACTGAAGAGGAGAAGAAGGCTGCTGAAGAGCGTGCTGCGGCTGCCAAGGCTTCTGGCAAGAAGAAAGAATGTATGTCAACGTGCATTTTTTCTGTTTTATTCTCTCATCACACTGTCTTGCCACTTTACTATAAAGACATCATTGTTACTGCTATATTGTTGAGGTTTATTTCTTACCCAAAAACCTTTCCATACCTTGTTAGCTGGGAAGTCGTCAGTTTTGCTTGATGTGAAGCCATGGGACGATGAGACTGACATGGCCAAGCTCGAGGAAGCTGTTAGGAGTGTCCAGATGGAAGGGCTGTTTTGGGGCGCATGTATGTTACCTCTCAGTTTTCACACACAATTTTGTGAATCACACATTTGTTTTACCATTGTGTTATGTTTCTGATGTGAACATTTACTGCCCTTTGCAGCCAAGCTTGTCCCAGTTGGATATGGCATCAAGAAGCTGCAGATCATGATGACCATTGTCGATGACCTCGTCTCTGTCGACACTCTCATTGAGGACCATCTCTGCGCTGAGCCAGTGAGCGAGTACGTCCAGAGCTGCGACATTGTCGCCTTCAACAAGATCTGTAAGTCATTCAGCACTTGATACTTACAGCTGCAGTAGCATAACTAGGATCTTGCTTTAACCTACTCATTATAATATTGCCCTGTCCAGTTTGTAGTTATTACTCAAAACTTTTCTGCTTTTGATGTGTTTGTAACTTTTGATCAATCCTGTTGCAGAAATTTCCTTGTGGTGGTGGCGGTGGTGGTTGGTGGGCAATGCACCAGCCTAATTTATCCATAGTTCTGTGTCTGCTTTGTGTGGCTAGTGATATCGCCGTGAGGTTTTTGGATCCTAGTCGAGTCGGATGTACCAGTACCAGAGTTATTTTGCTTTAATTCGAAACACCGTGTGGGTGGATTTCTGTTACTACTGTTCGTTGCTCGCAGTTCCTTTATTTTTGCACACGCTGGGGTGGTTCCTCTATTTTTGCATCGGCGGTGGTGGTTTGCCCTGGTCTGGCTGGTTGGAGGTGGCATCGCTCGTGGCGGAGCTGTTGCTGACATGTTTGTCTCCCCTGCCGTGCGCTCGTGCAGGCTTGCCTATCGCCCAAGCTTGCAGGCTGTGGCCAACAACGGTTACTTTGTTCCGTTAGCAAGAGTCTCCATGACGAATAGGAATAGCCGAAGATGTAGTGCTGGCGACAACGGTGCGGTAGCACCTCGTCTCGTGGCATCAGCTGCTTCGCTGCGGTAGCTCTGGTGCAGTGCAGGGACTGGGTCATTGGGCTTTCTTGTCTCCCACAGCCTATTCGTTTCGGCTGAATTGGCTTATAAGTCATGACTGCAAGTACTGTTGGCTGGTTTGGTGTGAGAGAAAAATACTGTTTAAGCCGTGGATTATAAGCCAGATACGAGCAAATAAGCCGAAACGAGGAGGCGGCCGGTCATCTGCCTGTTGAGATCTGATCAGAGTTGACAAACGCAAGCTCTGAATGGCTACTAGTCTACGACTACCCTCAACTTGAGCTAAAAGTGTCCTCTCTCTGTTTCAAATTACAGGATACTTTAACTTTTTTTACTTAAAATTTGTTATGTATAGATTCATAGCAAAATAAATATATAAAAAAAAGCTGAAGCGACCTATAATTTAGAACTGAGAGAGTAGCCGAGGAACAACTGGTTCGAGTCAACATACACATCCTCTTACTCCGAGTCCGACGTCAACTTCTGAATCCCAACCTGTTCCAGTTCCCATAGTGATATAGCTGCGCGATCTCATCTAGATTATCTCGCTGATTCACCGCAGATATTGCTGGAAATATTCATCCTTCTGAGTTCTGAGGCCATGCAAGCGTATTCAGTAGTTGGAAACCCATGAATGCATCATATGGTTTAGATACATTGTTATACTCGAACCATTTACCCTGTGTATCAATTAGAAGCCTCAAGCTTACGCCTAAAAACTGATTCAAATTCATGAGGAAACATTATTAGGATTAACCTACGCCTAAAAACTGATTCAAATTCTCGAGTAAACATTATTAGGACCAAATCTGCAGCACAAAGAACTCGCTCCGACAGATCCAGATCCTCTGCAAAATCTTGAGCATGCCATTCTCTGGCAGTCAAGCTAGTCAGTCGACATCTGAATCCCCAAATGGGTCTTCTAGTTCCCAGGGTGATAGTGATAAGCTGCCTGTGATCTTATCTGAATATCATGCCGATTTCACCGAAGATACGACACACTCAGAGTTGACTATTTGCTAGATTCACATTAAAAAAAAAACAAGAAAAAAAAGGAGGTACTCCGTACTCCTATTAGCTAGCCATTCCTTTTTTTTAATCAAAAGCGACAGGCGATTCAGGACCACATCGCGGCAGCTTCTGGGCTCTCCTAGAACACCACAATTCGCCCATTTTCCAATAGCTTTTATGCATCGATTGATCCATCCATGCACCAACGATAGGTGTCTCTACCCTGCCCAAACATTCTTGCACAGCCAGGGACAAAAGAAATGCATGAGCTTTGAGCTCAACTAAACAATAGGTCGTCTAGCTTTCGATGGAAACCTTTTTATCTTGTGGATCCCTAGGATCCTTCCCATAACTAACAAAGACCAGATGTCTCTAGAGAGTGGAGATCCTCAGGAACCATCTCTATCAAGTTAGAAGTATTGCTACCACCGTATTAAATCTATCTACTACTCTATTACTACTACTACTACTACTGTATTGTATCTGCAAGCCTGGAAATATCTATAGATATACATATATATTCAATGGCACACATCGGCATCTGCCAAAGGTGTACAATGTTGCTTGGCACTCACTCCTTGGCGCCTTTTTTTCCCACAATTGGGCTCGAACACACACAAATCTGCCTGGGAGCTGCCTCTGATCTATACGGTCAATGGAGATTTCGGATGTATTTTCACGTCCAGCCTAGCTTTCCGGTTTCGGCAATGACCATGTTCCAAGCACCCAACTTGCAATGCTACTTCTGCACACTCAGGACTCCGGGTATATATATAAATTTCACGCAATGATATGCTTCATGAGGAATGCCATGTTCTTGAGATGGGGTCACAATTGAATAAGAATTTATCATCAGGGTTACGTTCTCACTAACTGAAATCACTTCTCTTAATTAGCCCACAGGATGAAAATGAACTACAATACGTAGGATAGTATATATATGGAACATTAACATATCTGGCATCTGAAGATGAGATGGAAAAGGAAAGTACAAAGCTGAGAATTCTTCCTATGAACAGCTCCATTGTGGCGCTTGAACAAGCCCGCCAATGTACGTGTGAATTGTGATCTTCATTCAGTATATTACACCCTGGTGCATTAGGTATATATATCCCGTCTGATCGATTTGCCATTCAACTGAATATATCCTTCACTAGGAATTATTGTTGCACCGACCATTCTAATGGGATTTGTCTTCTGAGTCAAGGCCATCACTCATAAGCTGCGAAAGAAAGATCAAACCACCCAAATTTTAGCACCAGCAATGAACCTACAAAAAAAAACTGTGATCGTATCATACAACTTTGACAGGACAACAACAACAACAACAACTTTGACAGGAAATTTATACTTTTAATTGCAGTGTTGTAGCTTACCACATTGAATACCACAATGACCTTGAACTCGAGCTTCTTGATCTAGATCTCAAGAACAATGACTGCAAAACCCAAGAAATTTCATTCAGTGATCCATGATCATTACTGGCAGAGCTCATCGCATAAAGTTTCCATATGCATTGTTATTTGACCGTGTACATAGTGTGGTTGAAACTTGAAAGCATATATGTTCTTACAGTCCGTATCAGTTTTATCCCACTTGATTCCGTCAGAGCCCTTTTCATCATCCTCTTCATCGTGACGACCATCCCGTATCATCCTCCTCCCACTCGGTTTGTCATCGAGGTAGTACTTCCTGGATGACACTGCAGCATTGCTCGGGCGAGCATTCATCTTCTTCTGAAGCATCGTTCTGAACAACTGTGTGTGCACTCAAAAACAGGAGAGAACCAGCGTTTAAACTTAAAAACAGGAGAGAACCAGCGTTTAAACTTTGTCTGACAAGACATGAACTCAGACATATATATTTCATGTGCGTTGCTAATATAACACAGGTACCTTCTCCATCCTTGATTCAACTGGATCCTTCAAGCTCGGTGCGGGGGCGAAGCCGCCATGGCAGACGAACATCTTCTTCAGGAGGAACTTGAACGACTTCTTCTTGATGGTGGTGCCGTTACTGTTGACGAGGAGATCCCTGGCCTTGCTCAGTATGATCTGCGTGTCCGGCGAGAACTCGCCGTTCTCGCCACCGTCGCCCGCGGCATGCCTCAGGGAGATCCTCCGGTCGACCTCGAGGCTGGATGGGCAGTTGAGGAACCTGTCGAGCGGCAGCTGGCTGGCGTGGTCCTCGTCGGTGGCGCCCGACCCGCGGGAGGAGCTGGACTTGGACTTGGCGCGCCGGAGCAGCTTGTTCAGCGCGTCCTGCAGCTTCTTCACCTCCTCGATGGTGAAGTCCAGCACGTCGGCCTGCGACGCGCGCGGCGGGCCTCCACCTCCATCCCCCGCCGCCGGCGGTGGGTCGTCGCCCAGTGTCCCGATCGACAGGAGGCCCTGTGGCGGCCAGTCGCCGTTGGGGATCTTGTCCTCGCGCGCGTGGTCTTGGCGGCAGCTTTCTGACGTAGAAATGCAGCATCATGCATGCCATGCAAGAGCCGCCAGTTCGTTCGTCAGCACGAAGCTAAGAAGAACGCACGTACGAAAGGAATCACTCACCGCGAGCTGAGCTAATGGCGGCGGCGGCGGCCTCGGGTCGCCTCTTCTCATGTTTACCATTGAAGCGATTCTGCATCCAGTTAATGATCTGCAGAGTGCAGACAATGCAAAATTAACCGCGGAACGTACACTAGCTAGAAAAGAATACATGGAAGAATAGCTGTCAGTGGATGAAAACCAAAAGCTAGCTTTCAGTGGAAAGTGGAATTTAATTACCCCCATATCTTGTACGTACTGCTCCCGGAGAAGAATTAGCAGTAGTGTGTGAATATCCGAGCAGAGCAGAGTGTGACAGTCTGCAAGAGCGGCTGGGAGTGGGAGGCAACAGAAGCTCGATCGGTTCCAGGGTTTTGAAGGTGTCCTGTGACTGGTCAATCAGGACGCCGCCGACTTGGCTATATGCATCCACTACATATTCATTGGGAGGTTTCCAGGGAACAGAGAGAAGCTAAGCATGCATTGAAAGAAAAGAGAGTGGAGTGGCTTTGGATGCAACCAGGGTACCCTCCCCCCTGAATTAAATAGGGTTAGGGAGTCTAAACCCATGGCTACCTAGATTGATGGTAGTGGCCAAATTGCACAGTCGCATCCAGTTACGTTCTTACATGTACATGGGATGTTAATTAATTTTATTTTACTACTTGAGTGAAGTAGAGAATATGTTAGTATTACTGGGCGACTTTTTTTTATTTTATTTTATTTTCTCAATCAGTAATAAGAAAGTTCATAGCACCTCCTTTCTGGTTCTGGGATCAATGTGGGAGTTTCTTAGGCCAGTTTTAGTGGAGAGTTTCGTTGCGTTGTTTCCAACACTGCCATGTCATATAGAATGAAATGAAACTTGATGAAACACACGCTCTCAATGTAAAGTTTCAATCCATGGTTTCATAGACATTAAATTCTAAGACCTATAGAGAGTTGGTAATTGTGCCAATAGAGTTTCATCCCCATGAAACTTATTTGTTCTCTCTCTTCATTAAAATATTGCCATGTCATCAAACATGCATATGTGACAAGCTATTAAATGCAAATAAAACTCTCACGAAACTCACACTGAAACTGGCCTTACACCTGCCGAGGTGAATCTTGGGCATTAGTTAGAGCATATACTTTTTTAAAGCACGAAAACAGACAAAATGCCCACTTATAGTTAGAAAATAAAATTGTAATTTGACTTCACCAAAATAAGCATTGTAAAAAGAAATCTTATTTTATTTCCTTGATCGAAACTTGAAAGTATTGACCTTCAAAGAAAAATTCAAAGTATTTTTTTTCTTTCTGGTTATGGGATTAATGTGTGGGACTGTAACACCCACGCTGGGGAACCATCTACAATGAAGCAATATCCTTTTTTTTTTTGTTGTTGTTTAGTAAAACAACACAATGGTGCCGACACACATTATATGAGCATCACTTGTAAGAGATTGGTCTCGTAAATCTTGAGATTGACAAAATTAGCATGTGGTTGTCTCGCTTTCGACGTGAATATAATCTAACACTTAAAAAGAATAATCAGATGTAAATGTAAGCATTCATGTCAGTTGAGTCAGAAACTCAAACCCAACCGGACAGATTCCAATATAAGGCGGTAGAAGGTACCTAACACTTGTAGTGGCCACGTTAGTGTGTTGTTGAGGTGGTTTTGTCACAAATTTAAAGCAGATAGAGGATTAGTCCGCATTCTCTTGTTCCGCTACAGGGACTTTCTGCCCGTGCATACACATGCATGATGCACATGGTCGTGCGGGTCTTAAGTATGTTCGGTTGGCTGGTTCGTTTCGTTGCTGGTTCATGAAGAAGTACTGCTGGCTGGTTTATGTGAGAGAAAAATATTGTTTCAGCTAGAAATTTACGATCGTTTACAGCAAGGCACGGCCAAACGAACGGGCTCGTCATCCAGCGTGGTGGCTTTTGCAGCTGTAATGCCAACGACACCGTCTCTCGCGTCTCGGTACCCGCTGATGGATGTTCCCACGGTAACGATGTACAGTTGTGTACTCCGCGTACGCGTACGTAGAATCCGAGTAGCTGCGAACTTAATTGCCGTCGTCATTCGTGCTCTACCACTCCAACAAAGCACGCACCGACGACCCCAGCGCCCAATGCTACAGCCGGATCCCGAGCAGTAATTATCCCAGGTGCCCTGTGCGCGGCAGCCAATGGCCTTCGCCGACGTGGTGCGCCCCAGTCCGTTCGAGCAGAATTCCGGCGTGCGGACGTGGGCTCGCACGCACCCAGCCATTCGGCCCCTATTGTAGCGTCAGCCGTGGGGTCGCGCGCGGCCCAGGAGAGAGACCATCGCTCCTCCTTCCCGCTCCCCGGCAATCAGGCGGGAGGAGAGGACCTCGTGGGGAGTAATCTACGAGGGACTACTAATCTAATCGCGGCGCTCCACTAGTTAATCCGGGTGCTTAGGCGGGGAGGCACCGGTCATTAACAAACAGGTGTCAGCCCGACACGGGGTGCCCTGGCCGTGCACGCTGTCGTGACACTTGTCCCGGCTCTCGCATCGGACGGACGGCCTCCCCCCCGGCGCCCGCAGGGCCGAGATCCCAGTCCGAGAGGTGGCGCACGCCTGCATAGGCTGCAGCTGCAGCTGCCTGCATGTGCATGGGCATCCACTCTTTCTTTATACAGTAGTAGATGCAAAATAAGTATGTTTTAAGGCCATTTGGCCACAATTATGGAGTTTCTTTTTCTCTAGCATGTACCTCAACTGCATTCTACTATTTGGCAAGGCAACTTGCACTTCTCTGTAGACTGTAGACGGGCTTTGCAGTTTTCCGAGTGACCCTCCTGATCAGATGTTCAGCATCAAATTCAGGAGGTACGGCAAGTTCCCAGTTGCCAAACTAAATCATCGGGCGTGTTTTGTTGGACGCCACAACTTACGGCAGGCCCTGTTCGCTTAGCTTATCTTATCTTATCAGCCATACTTTTTCAACGAAATAACAGTGTTTTTCTTTCACAACAAATCGCCTCAGTTTGGTTTGTACTCCTATATGAAAATTATGTCAGCCATTGCGTTTGCTAGTCAATTTTTTTTGCCTAAGATTTGGGCGCCGACTTTTAAGGCCACAACCTGGGTGCGACGCCGCACCAGCGGCGTGGCTGACCGTGACTGGGAATCAAACAGCCTCATCAACTCCCAACATTGAACAGGCAGATATTCAGAAACAAGTACTACTCGAGTGTGTGGCCCTTTTGCATTGCGTGTAACAAGAACAAATTAGAACGTTTGAACGGAGACAATGTACAACCAAGATCGATCGTCGATATAAGCTGATGATATATTGTATTTCATCCTCGCCCCACAACCTGGCTTCCGCAAACTCTATTATGTACACTCCAAATCTCCAATCTTCCATACAATATACAAACACAACGCCCGGGCTCCCCTACTTCCTACTAGGACTCTGACCCTCCGCAGCACACCTCCGCACAGCACTCGTAGCAGCCAAGGCACGCTAGAGCCGCGCAGATCTGTGCCATCAGAATGGCGCACTGGTCGTTCATCCTGTTGCACGCCTTGATGCAGCACATGCAGCAGAGGCAGTCAGCGACGCGGCTGCAACAGCCATTTCTCTTTTGGAGCATCACAAGTTTTTCTGCCGGATTCATGTCCCCAAATCCTGTGGTGAGATTTTCCCTTGTAGCGTCTTTGTTACCGAATCCCAGTTTCAGGCCATGAAGCAGGATCCGTTGCTCATCTCTGCCTTTCTGTCCTTTTAGTTTTTGCTTGACCTGTTCAAGTACACAAAGCTCAGCAACAAGTCCCTCCACATCAAACTATTCATAATCGCAGCCAACGGGCCAACAACAGCAAATAGTTATGAGCTATAATTATTGCCTCCACATATGAAAAGACCCACTTTTAACTGATTTATATTTGGAAAAGGAGCATCAGTGATCAAAACCTATTTTATGAAAGCCCCTACACCAAAACAGAATAAATATCATGGAAGAATAGTATGTTGGACCTACCTTTTGTGTTCCATCTACTTTATCCAGATTTGTTTGAAGTAAGATCATATCTGTGTACTCTGATGGAACACCGTTTTGTATGCTTAGTTTAATCACCTGCAAGATTTAGAAGAATCCCTTGTTATCCAAAGATGTGCAAGAGAGAAAACCAATGCAAAAGTAAAATACTCGCTACAAAGTTTAGTTGGAGGTTGTTTTGCTGTGTTTGTGGTGTGTTCTTTTCAAAAGCATTTTTAAAAGTCAAAGTCTTTGGCAAATCAGATTGAAGTTGAACAAACTTGTTTATTCATAGAATTCTCTCACAGTAAATAGCATTGCATTTTCAGGTCTGTTACTTTGCCCTTCAACTTACACCATAACATAACACTGAGATCAATTTTTGGGTCTAGGGCAAAAGGACAATTGCAAAGCAAAGGAAGTCTAGGGTGGTGCAGGCAAAGCAAAAAAAAAAGGGGTGTGTGTGTGTGGGGTGTGGGGGGGGAGGGAGGACGTGCTTTGGCCGGTCATAATTTGTTCCTTTTTTTGTGGCTACAGGCCAAAAAATGGCTAGCCAAAATCGGGAAGGCCATTTTGGCCACCTGAGTTCACTATAGATTTTTTTTTAGTCGATCAGAATGTGGCTTGGCTGGCCACCAAACTTTGGCATCCAACCAAACGAAGGTCATGTTTCCTTGGCATGGCCAAATTTTTTGCTTGAACTGCTAGCCTGCTAGGGCCATAAACTAAACACACCCTAGTGCAATCATTTGTCTGACCAAATACCCCACCTTTCTCTCCAGTTGTTTGTCTGCAGAAAGCCATGCCTTTGCTGTCATAAGATCAATCTGTTGTGTCACCAATACCTGAAATTCATACAAAAAGATCCTTAATGAATAAATAATTTTTGGAAAACTACACATATTTCGACTGAAAAACTATCTCAAAAGCACAGCTTCCAGGAAAATTTTATAATAATAACACACATTGTTAAAAAAAAAAAAAGGTTTAAAACTAAACTTCTTAATGATTATTCCAATCAACATAAATAAAACCAGTCCCACCAAGTGAGACTTTTAAAAAGTGAGTTTTAATATAGGTGTGTCCACTGTCCAGAAGAACATGCGATTTTGTGGAAACTCTTTCTCAAGAGTACTTTTGTGATGCATTAGTTAGATTGATCAAGAAGGCATTAGTTAGATTGATCAAGAAGGCTGTATCATCATGTTGTAGTTTTGTCCTAAGTCAAAACTCAAGTAGAGAAGTCACAAGCATAACGAACAAAAAAATAGCTTCAGCATCTTACTTTATCAAGAGGTATTTCCTTTAGTTGTTGGACCTTCAGTTCAATCGAGATTTCCTTCATGTCAGCTAAGTAACCTTTAGCTTTAACTGTGTCGAGTAATTTTCCTTGGTATTTTCCAGATACACACAAAGGAGAGTTTGCTGAAAGGTCTGGAATGTACTCAGAATCCACCTAACGAACAAAAGAACAGCAATTAGACAACCAAAACCGGTACTTTCCCAACAAAACTTGCAGAATCTTTCTTCTTAATACAATGATACGCAGCTCTCTTGGGCTTTCTAGATAAAACATGCAGAATCTTGACTGGCCACCAACCCGGACTAAAAACATGTTTCTTTATTGACAAATAGAATAGTTAATGAAAAACTTATCATGGATTATACAGTACAATTTTTAGTCTATACATCTGCATCTTCACAATTAAGCATGCTAAGGTAGTTTTATTAAGTTGTACTGTCACAAGCATTTAAAATAAAATAAGTAACAAAAGTATAATTACTAATCAATCATGCACAAACTCACTTCGAATTCATCCAGATGTGTCATAGCATCAATGGAGATATTTGCCACAATTGTGCTTGATGCTCTCCTGAACCACTTAAGAATCCGATTTTCGATTGATGCTGATACAGTAAAAAAAATGGTTAAAACCATATATTTATATATTTACTAGTCCAATGCATGGATATAGCAATCATAGTGGTGATTTCTGACAGATTAAATTCGTTTATTGACCTTTTGATCATAATGTACACATAATAAAACATAGACCTTGTAACATGTAAAAACTAGAGCAAATGTGAACAGAACAAATGAGAACAAAAAAGCTTGCTAGCTCTGAAGACCCAGAATACAAAACAAGAAGGTTCAATAATTTTTGTCCATGTCAAGGAGATTTAGGAAATTGGACAAAATGTATATATAACCACAGCTAGAACTGACTACATCTTATTTGCAATACATCAACAAGCAATGGAATATGAGGTCATACCATATCCATTACTCATTATACTTAAATGATAATATGAAAGGTACATGAAGCCAGATCATAATGCAAAGACAAGAACCATGGGTACCTGTCTCAAGTGCAGCATCGTAATGTCCCTTGCCAATTGAAGCTAACATGCGCAGGAAATAGTGGTTGCAATACGATCCTAACATGTTCAAGTCACAACATCAGAAAAAATAGAAAACATGTGATATCTAAAACATAATTTGACAAACTACACAAGAAAGAGCAAAACATAATTTGATTCACAATAGTTACAAATCACAGAGTTAACAATCCTATTAAATTACGCATAGTTTTCGTTTGCACAGGAATTAACACTTGTATATGAAATTATGAGAAGACCATAGGTAAAATAAGGCAGAAGAACTTCAGTTCAAGTCAAGAACTAAGGTACTACAAAAATTGCGTTTTGATCGGAAGTCACAATAATATTACCTAGTCCGAAAGTAGAAATTCGGGGAGATTTAGACCCTCTGTTGGTGAGCTCAGTTTTTGCAGTTTGGCAGATGTTATGCTCATCATCAACAGAACCATCAGTGATAAGATATATTTGTGGAAGTGTGTCATGAACACTTGATAGTAATGCCATTGCCTTACATGAAGAAATGACCAGTATGAATAACAAAACAGGAGAAATCCGGATTACAAAATAAGAAAAATCCCAACTGAAGTTGTTCAAAATGACATACCTCACTCAAAGGATGCATAACATCTGTGCCACCCTCAGCAACAAAGTTTTCATTCATCCAATCAGTTGCACTTGCTATTGCTTTGTCATTTACTTGCTCTAAACAGGAAGAGAATGAGTGAAGCTCATCATTAAATGTTATAATGTTGAAGTAATCCCCTTCCACAAGCTCTGAAAGAGCAGTAGAAACTGCACGCTTGACATTCTCAAGAGGCCTTCCTTGCATGCTTCCACTTGTGTCAACAATAAACACAACTGCTTTTCTGAATACCTATTGAAATAGCTCGGATGAGATAAAGGACCATGAAGGCATATCTCTTGAAATACAAAGGAGGCAACATGATGATGAACTTCTTCTGAGCCGATGAAGCAAAAAAGGTACTGAAAGGCTATAAAGGTACTAAAAAAGGAGAATAGAGGCGAATGACAATTTAGAAGAATCTCATATGTAAAATTCCATGCAGCTTGAAAGGAGCTGATACAGCTTGATATCCATGACCTTGAAATAGATAACATTCCAAGTGAAGGGATATCAATCAAGATAATGTTGCAAGTAGCAGAAACTAACCTTTCTGTTGCCACTTCCAGGTAGAAGAAAAATGCAGAACATATCTCTTTCATCATAGTCACGTAATGTTGCGGGTTGCACAAGCATACCACCACACAAATCGCCTGAGTAAACCTACACATATCAACATAAAATTTAAATTAGGCAAAGGACAGAATATTCAGCAAGATTATAAAATTTATCTGCTGAATATCATGACGAGCTAGATTCGCAAGATAGTTCGGCATCGGCCTTTAGGGAACATCATTGCAGAAAAACTCACACTGTATGAAAAATTGAAATCTTTGCACGACCAATTCTCAACAATGGCTTCATGATGGAAAAACAATTTATCTCCTTGCCTACTCTTTTCCTGAAATGAAAATAAAAATCCGGAAGATCAAACCTATGCAGAGTTCCTAATGCTCCAAATGCACATCAGGACAGTTAATAAAATTAGATCACCTTCAACGGGTGGCTTGTTCCTTGCAGCAAAACCTCCTTACTGAAACCACTGTTCACAGTCAACTGAATTTTTTCCTTCTTCATGAACACTTTTGGTAATGGGTTGACAAAGTATGGAAAACGGAAAGGTATTTCAACAGAGAAACACCCACTGTCATATAATAACTTCTGAGACCATCGAAATGTAGCACAAATATCTGCTCCTCCCTCAACCTTGATGAATGAGAAAAGCAGCGAATCAGCAAAGCATGATAGCACTTCCAATCATCAAAAACAAGGCACTGGAGAGACCAAAGCACATACCTGAGGTATTGTCAAGAAAAACAGATGTGGCTTCAGAAGGCCACCAATCTCAATTTTTGCATGATTCTCCAATGTGTCTTCTACTTCGATTACTTGGGTATTATATGATCTTCTTCCGATAGTAACCTCAGCGCCTAGAATTGAACCCTATTAGCCAAACCGTTCTTAGGTTGAGACCAATCCAAATGGAAACTGGTGTTTCTTAACAACGTATGTATGCAAGATAGTCAATGCTTGGCTTGATTTTATGGCTATGTCTATCAATAATGGATGAAATCAATGCATATAAACAAATGATGAAAGAGGGAAATTCTTTGTTACTTGTACCTATCATGTTATTAAATTGAGCAATCAGAACATCAATCGATAAAAAAATATCCATGGCAATCAGAACATCAATCAATAAAAAATATCTGTTTCACAAGAACCTAATGTTCAAGCAAGTGCTTGAAATATTTTGTATTTATCTTATCCAAGTCCTTGTCAACCCTGAAAGCAGGCAAGATGCTGACCTTGCACGGACCTAATGACATGCAACAGTCATGAAAAGAGAATAAGAACTTGAATATCAAAATTAATTTCCATTTTGCAAAGCATGTATTCCACTGGATGTTAAGGAACATCACATATCTGTCACTGCCAGATGCTGAATCAAGGCCCAAGCAATCCAATTTGATGTGCATCCAGATGGGAACACAAGATGATCCCCAGTGCACAATGAGCAAGATTGCCCATTGCATAACAGGTTCACTGTCATGAAAATCAGGTTACCTCTCGGCAGAACCAAGATTTCCCTTCTAGTGTTTGATTTCCCATGGACAAAGCAAGGAATTACTTTTAACTGCTTAAGCAACTACACTGCATTACTATTCTGTTATATCCAAAGCGTGAATACACTCATGTTGCTTATCTTAGAATCCATGAACCCAGCCTTAGTGATACATGTAGTTTACATAGCAAATCATTGGTCGCAGACAATACCCTTGCAACAAGAAGATCGATCAAAACACATGAAAAAACAGTGGCAAACGCAACAAACCAACCCAACATCACCGGCGGCAACTACGTACAAACGCATAAATGAGTCATGTTGTGAATGAATAGCATTAGTTTACGGGTAATATGCACAGATAAAAACGCAATGGAAGGCAAAAGTCCATACACCGAAAATCAAATTAGTACGGGCCTTCCTGACCCAATCGCTCTGGTCAAACGGTTTGGTTATACTACAACCGCAATCATTTGAGCCCCCACCAAACTGAATCTTACGAGACAAGTCAAACAGAATCAGGGGAAAAAAAACAGAGAATGCGAGCGAAATGCCAAGCCGCGATAAAATATCGCAGAAACCCGATCGTGCTCACCTGCTCGGCCAAGGGCACGACGAGGCGCACGTCGCACTCGCGGCTTCGCGTGATGCAGTGCAGCCACCAGCGCGCGCGCAGGGTGACGTGCGCGGCGTCGAGCGCGCAGTCGACGGCCAGGTCAACCTCCTTCATCTGCAGCGGGATGAGCGCGGGCGGGTCGAGGTGGCCGTAGACGTAGGGCTGGTAGCTGGGCACGTCGGGGGTATCGACGGCGGCCGGGTCGGTGACCACCGCGTAGGCCATCGGCGCGGTGGGGAGCAGCCGCGGGTCGGGGCCCGACGCTGCGGCGGCCGACACGGTGCGCTCCATCCCCGCCGGCGGGCGCGGCGGGGGCAGCCCTCCCGGGAGCACGAGCCGTTTCGAGAGCTTGAGCCCGTCCTCCACCGCGCGCGCGAACTCCTCCATGGCGGGGGCGGGGGCGGGGCGGGGCGGGGCGCGCGCGAACGAATGACGATCCGCTAGGGTTCCGACGTGGTGAGGCCGAGGGAGATGCCGGGAGGAGGGGGCGAGGCGGCGGCGGCGGTCTGGCTGGTTTTGATTTGGAAGGCAGGGAACGGGGAGGGAGGAAGACGGAGCGCGCCGCGTCGGGGCGGCGCGGCGTGTTTTTATTTGGTTGGCCACTTGCTGCCTGCGTCCGGGTGAACGAAGGCGAAGGGCGAGGTGATTAGAAACTGCCCCGCCGGCCCGCGCCCGAGGAGGGGGGGAATGATGAGCTGGGTGGGGGCTGTGGGGGCTGGCTGGGGCGTGGCCGGCTGCGTGGGCGGTGAGAATAGGCGTGAGGAGGGAGGCGCCGTGTCCGTGGTGGCGTCGCGTGGACGAGGACGACCTGTGGCTGATTGATTCGTCCGTCGTTAATCGATGGGGGCGACCAGTGAGATTGGGTTGGTACAGTGCGGTCTGTTAGGATGGAGCTTGGGGTTGGTATCTTTCTTTGGCTCTCACGGTTTTCTTTCGTTTGTTTACACCGTGTCACCATCTACATTGCCTACCCCCAAACCATCTGTTTAGCAAAGCTAGAGGATGACAGGCATTGTCTGAGAAAACATGCGATTAAGTTCTGGTGTTTGGACAATAAAACAACAGAACGATTTATGAGCGTGTTGGTCTCGAAAAACAGAACGAACAGGCTGTATACGACAAGCCACAACCGAGGGTACGCATGCAATGCAGCTGCAACGGCTAGTTGGTAGCCTTCCCTTTCGGTGTGCATGTGAAGAGCAGAGTACGGCGCACCTGGCCCGCTTTGTCTTTCTCTTCCTGGGGTCGCGGACTGCCTGGGCCCATCCGCGGTTCGTCCGTTGGACTACTGGACGGTTCTATTCTGAGCTTCTGGTCTCTGCATCTTTCTTCGGGAGCAGCAATCATCTTTGGAGCGAGCCCCAGTTTTTTTTTTCTGCCAAAAAAATATACCCGGCCTTGTTTAGATTGCCTCAAAATTTTAAGTTTTTTCACTCTCTTCATCACATTAATTTTTGGACGCATACATGGAGCATTAAATATAGATAAAAAAATAACTAATTACACAGTTTGGTTGTAAATCACGAGACGAATCTTTTGAGCCTAGTTAGTCCATGATCGGACAAAGTTTGTCAAATACAAACGAAACGTGCTGCAGTGTGCAGATTACAAAAATTTACAATCTAAACCAGGCCCCGTCTCAAAAATATTGCAATTATAGGACTGGGCACATGTACCAATGCAGGTGGAAAAATACCTAAATACCCCTGTCTATAATTATGTGAGGTGCTGTCTAGCAGTAGGTTTGCAGTACACGCGTTGCTAGTATAGATGGCCATTGGGCCGGGCCGGCACGGTACGTCGTGCCTCCCGGGCCGTGCTGAGCTGGGCTTCGTGCCTGACCAACGGCCCAGGCACGGCCTGTCGGGCTATTTTTCGGGCCGGGCTGGCCCGAGAAGCACAGTCCATCTGGCGTGCCGTGCCCGCCCGAGGCCCACAAGGGAACACCGCCGTAGGAGGAAGTCGATGTCACGTCCGTACCGCTGTGACGGAGTCGGAGAGCGCCTTCGCACGGTGTCTCCAGGCGTGACCTCCACGCACTCGGCGAGGCTCGGGACTCGGGGTCGTCGGATCCGCACAGCCGGAGGCACTCGACGCCGGATCTGCATGGTTGGCGGGCTAATGGAGCATTGGAGTGGAGGAGGGAGTTCACGTGGAGGCGGGCAGCTGTAGGGCGGAGATGGAGCATCTGCGCCTTCGCTCGTGAGTCGCGAGTGGGAAGGAATGCGATGCCCCGATGCGGATGTGGAAGTTGGGCGACGGTGCGTGTGCGGCGGGATGGATGGGCGAGTAGTATGGGGAAGCAGCTAGAGTTAAGTGTTGGGCCTTATCTTTTGTTGGCCTATTAATCTATTACCGGGCCTCGGGCGAGAGTATTCTTCGGGGCGTGCCGTGCCGTCCGACGTGCTTGAGGAGCGGCCCAAGCACGGCCCTATATATCGGGCCATGCTAGCCCGGGCTCGCAACTCATCGGGCCAGGGCGTGCTTATACCGAGCCAAAATGTCGTGCTTCGAGCTGGGCTGCCGTACCTATGGCCAACTATACTTGCTAGCAACGAGAACGAACAAGACCCCGTTTAGTTCCACTTCATTTTGCAAATTTTTTTAATATTCTCCGTCACATTGAATCTTTAGACGCATGCATGAAGTATTAAATATAAATAAAAAATAAAACTAATTACACAGTTTAGACGAAATTCACGAGACGAATCTTTTAAGCCTAATTAGATTATGATTGGACACTAATTGCCAAATAAACAACGAAAATACTACAGTACCATTCGCTAAAAAATTTACAAACTAAACAAGGCCGAGCATGTGCGCTGGGAGCAAGGGGGCCACGAGGGAATTCTCTGGAAGATGAAAGAGCTCAAGATGAAACTAGTGGACGGGAAAATGCCACGTTCGTGCATGAGGGGCCTACTCCATCCGTCCCTAAATATTATCGTTTTTCTTTCTAAAAAATAATTTTGATTAAATATATATTAAAAAAAATTAATATTAATGGTATATAATTAGTATTATTTGATAGATATTTGAATCTAGTTTTTTAATAAATTTATTTAGAGAAATAAATGTTGCATGTATTTTCTATAAATCGAATCAAATTTATTAGCACGCAAACCGTGACGACACATCTGCGAATAGAGAAAGTACGTGCTTGCAGCTGAGCGGGGCCTACGTGCTGCCAACCTAACCGTGTTTTGGTACTTGTGCAAAGAGTGTAAATTTTTTGGAAATTTTTTTTGAACAGTAGGATCACAGTCTTTCACGGAGGGAGTACCACTAACGTACTCCGCCACTGCACTGCACGCCTGATTGTTTGGCCGAGGAACAGCAGCGCGCATCCCATAGGGACTCCGGACGCGGGTGATTGATGAACATCAGTTCAGGTCCACCTGCACCTGTGGCCTGTTGGTATATGAAACTAAAACCGTCCTGAAAGCTCGCTCGACAGTCGGCAACAATAATTTCTCTACCCGTCTACTAGTCGTCGTCGACCTTTGCCATCCGATTCGTCCACGTGATTCTCTTTCTTACGAAAACTCGGAGTCGTTGTCGACGGTGCGGCCCACGCCCCACGGCCGCGAACCATGACGACTGGGCGATACGGTATCCCCGCGAGCCGCCCACGAGGGAGCTCGTGGTCGTAGCCGTGGCGTGCTCGCGTGCACAAGGGATCGCCATGCGGGCTGACGAAAGCTGCTGTCCAGTCCAACTGAGCTCGGACATCTGCCGCGCGACGGTCACGGCACGGGGGACGGGGGCCTCAGATTAGCTTTTCTGTCGTTGCCATCGTGCCATAATTTTTGGGCCCATCCCCGCCGAAGCCGGATCATTCGCGCATCGTTTGCTTGCCTCGTGCATCTTCCTTCGTCGCGATCGAAAATCCAATATTTTTTGACGAAAATACCGCCGCGAATACGATTGATGGAGAAAGGATGGTACAGTGATGGGCTGCTAGTACCTGCACGCCATGATCACACGGATATTTTATTTGCGTGTCACTGTGACCTGATGAACTGCTCCAAATGGCGCGATCATATGGAATACTAGTGTTGAGCTATTTGTGAACTGGTGATAGCTCATAGCTCCGAAATAACTAGTACCGAAAATGAAATATGAGGCGCCCATACTTTTTTTAAAGAAAAAATCCAATTTACCTCTCTTAACTATTGTGATCGTTTGATTTTCTAAAAGTTTATAAAAAAATGTAAAAACTATCCATATATATTTTTACATGAAAAAATAATACAATAAAAAAATCATAAAACCTAGTTTAATCTTAGAAAAAAAAATCTAAAACTAGTTTCATAATACAATAAAACAAATATTTTTCAACTTCGACCAAATATATATAAATAATATTAGTATTCAAGATGCATAATGAGTCAAATATGTTTTTTAACAAACTTATTTAGAAATACAAATATTACAAATATTTTTTCCTATAAATCTTGTCAAATTTATGAAAGATTGACTAACACGAATCCTCTAGTGACAATGTTTTGAGACGGAGAGAGTATGTGTATGTTCCGAGGACTATGACCCGGTTTGCTTGTCTTATGAGCCATACTATTTCAGCGAACAAATACAAATAGTATTTTTCTCTCGTAACAAATCAACGAACAGTACTTTTCAGCATAGCTTTTCAGCAAAGCGAACAGGGCCCATCTCTGTTGCATGAGTGCGCTGTCAGTTATATGGACACGAGCCATTTTATGAAACGTTGAATCCTATACACCCGTGCCCCCGCCCAACTCAGACTAAAACACTGCCACAAGCCGTTGCAAGGAAGTGGACTCAGCTAACCTTATCCAGAAGTTGTTCGACCACCGAATAATATCAGAAACTATTTTTGGAGCATCTCCAAGAGTCCTTGTAGAATTAGTTCTTTAAATCATCATTTGGAGAGTTATTTAGGTAGAAACCGCTTTTTATACCCTTCAACAACTTTTCTATATTTATCTTAACTAATGAAAAGTTCGGGATAGAGGATTTTTCTATATTTGGAGGTCCAATTAAAGGCTACTGTAGGATATAAAGATTCTATTAGATTTGTTGAGCGATTTCTTAGGTCTCTCTTTCTTCCTTATTAGACCAGATTACATTTCGTCTACCCATGGAGCGATTTCAGCGTTTCGCATTACTGTACAGTAGAAGGATTTCTAACCAACGTCCTACCATGTAGAAGTATTAGCTTTTCGTTTCCTCGTGGAACGACAAGGTTATCTCACAACTAAAAAGATTAAAGAGGAGACACCGTTTTGGTGCGACAAAAACTTCGTCTCACCTTCGCTTCACGCGGTGCGAAAAAAGTTTTCCACCTCGACGCTCTGTCCGTCCGTGCGACAAGGAAACTCGCATTCGCGGCCTCCCATTTTCTG